CATGGGCCCATTTGCCGCAGATCACACACTGAAACCAGTATTCGTCTTTCTTGCTCCAGTCGTCGCAAACCAAACATCTGTCTCCGAGATTGACCTCCGTGTCATGAAGTTCATCATCATCACATAACTGGCTGTCTGAGACTTCTTCTTCAGATTCACTATCCTCAAAAACCTTCCTTTTAACGGTCTTATTATTTTTAGCGGGATGTTTTGCACTCGCTTTACCTTTTTTTGACGGTTTTTGTTCTAATTTTTTTTCCAAATTTGCTTGCCTATCTTTTTTTTTGACTCGCAGAGGACGGATAATTGTGCGCGATGCGCACTATTAGCCAACATGGACCTAATTGTAATAAAAATTCACAAAAATAAAATTGTACGTTATTTACCTTGGAAAAATTTCTCCAGTAATAGTAGGAACCCCACTGATTATTTTGGTGAAATTTCCGAAACAGGAATGTTCTTATTTTCAAAGTTATCGCTTGTTTTCACCCGCTTAAATTTTAATATAAACAGTCGGATAAACCGCCAAACACGATCACCGATATGTTTAACCAGCAAATCGCACGAAAGTCAGCGTTACTTTCAAAGACATCTATGAGACGGCGCCACGTGTACGAATTTGATCAAATAATAGGCGTTTTCGTATGGTATTATGGTGCGCACCATTAGCCGCTGCGCACGTTTACCCGACTTCCCCCTAACTGGATATGAAAAGAAAATAAAATTTATTTCTGGAATATTGAAAAAGTCATTCGATCTATGTTATAGTAATGAAATTGTTGAATCTGAAAATTTTCTATGCAAAGATACTACAAAAGTCGTCCAATCTCGGTTTAATAAATTGCTCGGAAAATCTGAAGTTATCAGCGAAATAATCGGTACTAATACGAAAAAGACTAAGAGGAATTTTTGATGGTGCTTCTTACGCATTCAATTGGCTATTTGGCATGCCTGATGCCGATGATGCTAAATTTTATGACAAATCCATAAAAACTCTAATTCAAATTCAAAATTTTCAACTCCTTCTCAGCAGATACCAATAAACGTATTCACGTAAACAAACTGAAACTTATCATCAGTTCACATATTGCCTTACTCACACAAATATTAGAAGATCTGAACGAAGAATATGATTTATTAATCTCAGCTATAACAATGGCCAGACATAATATCCTACATCCGAAAGTTATAACACCAAAACAATTATTAAATGTACTTTCGGAAATCAAATTGAACAACGGACTTCAATTACCGTTCCCAATATCTTATTCAACTATTTACAAATATTTTGAGATCAGTAAACTAAAAGTTTTTCATTCTGATAACATAATTATTTTTGCAATTGAAATTCCATTGACTGACGAAATGACCTACAATCTGTTCAAATTATTGCCACTTTCAACACCTCATAATTTTTCTGATATTCATTCCTATATCCTACCTGATTTTCCTTACCTGCTGATAAGTATTAGTAAGGTTAGTTATGTGCAAATGAAAGACCTTACCAAGTGTACAAGGATCACAGAAGAGGAATTCATCTGCCAAAACACTCAAGCCACAAGGATTCAAGAACCTCCTAAGTGCGAAGTCGCATTGTTTACATCATTTTCTACCAAAATCCCGGCTGACTGTCATACCGTTACTTCCAAAGCAGACTTCGAGATATTGCATCCACTGAGCGACAACTCTTGGCTTTTCGTACTATCGACGCCCTTACAGCTTACTCTGGCTTGTGATAATTTTCCAATCGAAGATATAAAAATTGCATCAACAGGGCTGTTAAGTTTGGAACCCAAATGCAGAGGCTATACTCAAAATATTATCTTGGAAAGCACAGGAATCATTACACGGAATATTTCAAAACAAATTTCAGATATCAATATTGCACTTGACGATTGCTGCTATGCCAAAGAAGCCAGATTCAACAACACACCAATCACACTACAACCAATAAGACTTTCCAATATCAAATTGGACGATTTACAGTTTCCAAATCACACACTTGGACAACTGGACCAATTGCTGGATGAAGAAATGAAGAAGCCATTTATTATTCAACACTCTCATTGGTTCATTATCATTATTTCTTTTATCGCGTCAGTTGTTCTTTTGGTAATAGGGTACAATTTTCTTAAGTGGTGCGGATTAATATCATGCATTAAAAGTATGTTTTGTTGTACTAAAAGCCCAAAGCACATATCGGATTCCTGCTGTATTAAGCTTTTCAATACAAATATAAATACCACTCCAGGGACAAGTCAAAACATATCAAGAATTCTAGAAGAAGAAGCCAGAACGAAAATGGGCGAAGGGATTGAACTAAATAACCTTCTAAGTTCCAATGAAGCAACCACATCCACTACGAATTCCATGTCCATGCGAAGATCAGTCACCCCAAGACCGTCCATAAAAATGTCTTAGTAAAAGATATGTTTGTATATTCTTAGGTATAAGTTAGTTTACATTTTTTTTTTTTCTCTTTCCTTTTTATTCCTACCTTTATATTAAGTTAAGCTTCATATTATTTTACGTTAGTTTTTTATAATTGTATTTCTTAAAGGATTTGTTTTGAAGAAATTTCTTTATGAAAATTTCTTTTTTTTTCAAGGGGGAAAGTGTCATATTCCTCCATAATATCATGACATTGTACCTTTTACGACCCTCGAATACTTTCCCAAATAATGTCTCGCCGTCGCCGAAAGCAATACTATTATATGACCCAGACTTTCTGTTAAAGAACCCAAAGATATTGTATGTAAATAAATTAAACATTTGTCCACCATAAACCCCAAAATTCCCAAATATCCTTAATGGTCATTCTTTGGGCGAACAGACTGTCATTTATTGCCAATATTTATTTAGGGTTTTCCAGTTGTAATTATGTAGGTTTTAGAAACGTTTTAGAAGGGATGTAAAGGTCGATTTGTAAGAGATCTAGTGAAGCAAGAAGACAGTCTTAAGACAGCTTCAGTCGTAGTAACACATTTTGTTAAAACTCTCTCTAAAATAAGTCTTACTTTTGCTGTAGTTCAATTTCATTCTATATTCCATTACCTAATAAAGCTACAAGTTTCAAACCAAAAACAAAAGTAGTTTTAACCAAGGCAAAACACTGAAGGATCACAACAATTGAAAAGTTCTGTTGGAAGAGAAGCTTGAAGAAAAGGTTTTGGATATTTGTCAAGATTTTTTATTTGTATTAATTGGAATGAAAACACCAAAACATGTGGAATTAGCCGTTTACTACAAAATTTTGAATTGAGCCTGATGCTTTTTTTAAAAAAAGAAATCTTGTTGCTATTATTTTTTTACTGATATTAATTGGATTCCCTAGAAATAGATTCCATATTTGGAAATAATTAATAAATAAATAAATGGAATTTTTATACCTTTTATGCGACGTTTTTTTTTTCCGTTTTTGCCAGTGTTTGAGAGAAAATGCATTGTGAAATAAATATTTTGATTGGGTAATGATAATATTGTTTTTTATACTTATAAAAAAAAAAATTATTATTAATATTTTTCCTATTCATATTGTTTCCCAACCCAACCAAACCCATAAATCCCCCATTCCCCTATACTCCCTACAATATTATAACAATATCGTAATGCGTGTCTTTGTTGCACGTATGAAGATAGCTGTGGTGTTAACTCTCTCTGACACACTGATTCGCTGCACCGCGTCCTAAGATCGCGCTCACCGGCGATGCCGAGAGTTGAGACGCGGCAATTCAATTTTCTTCGGTTTTTAAAAAAGAATGCACATCAAACTAAACGTCGTATGGAAAAAAAGTTTAAGTAAAAAAGTTTCTTTACTCTATTAGCAACATTTTTCTCGCTTATACTAGGTATCTATCTCTAAAGATAAAAAAATTTCCTCGATTCACCATTTAACGCTGCAAAATGACGATATTTTGTGTCATCTGGCGAAAAAAAAATTACGTAGCTTTTATGTGAAGTTCTATGTTTTTTATTGTTATGTAACTATGTCAGGGAAGTACTGAAAAATATCATATCCAAAATTCATAACAATCGGACATCAATTAACAAAGTTATGCACTAGTTTTCAAAAAAAATTATTCCAATGGAAATTTTCAGTTTTTTCAAAAATGTCATGTTTTGACACATTTCGCAATTCCGGATCAAAGGGCGAACAAGAACAGGTCATTTTACATAGGATTTCATGTTTTTTAGGTGGATGTTCGCGACTTGTATAGAGGTGGTCGAATTCAGCACCTCAGATTCCCGACTATAGGATTGTGTAGGCAAAATAATGATGACTCTACCTACTCTAGATAACATGAAAAGTTTTATTGTATCTTAAATAGTTCCCATTTTATTTCAGTTTGGAATCATATCGTTCTTATTGGAAATCACTGAATTAAAAAGGACAGTATCTTGAAAAATCGCCATAATCTTGAGAACGACTCATTTTAGGCACAACATATTCCTGATGGTCCAATCTGAAAAAATATTAGCGGGTTTTTGAATTCAAGAATTCAAGGATGGTTGAGTTAAGAGGATTGAAATTGACGACTCTATAGGCAAAGTTCAAATATTTCACCCATTAAAGGTTAAAGAGAATCGAGGTATCGAGGGCGTTGACGAATGAAGGAACTAATTTTATAAAAATAAAACTTACGTTAAACATAAGAGCAAGTTCATAAAATTTCGTCTAAATTGTTTAATATATACTTATTTGTGGGCATGCATGTAATATTTCAAAAATATTTATATACTTATGGTTAAAATAGTTTATAATCCTACTGCCCAATTTTTTATTGATTTACATTTTGAAAGTCTTAGTTCTATATCTATTTGAGTGCCTATGTATTATTAGATTAAACTAGACACCCACTCATTGTCAGCGTCACTAATTCTGGAACCAATTTTTATGTCTTCCATTATTAAATTTAACTTTCAACTTTGCAATTTAAGCAGTTAACAATTTGTATCAGCAACAATTATTGTAGAGAAATGAACAAATAAAGGTAACTTACCGTGAGCTAGACAGCTGATCACAATAAACAACAGTTTTGTGAGTAAATGATTCACTGTTGGCACTAGCATTGTGAATTTAAATAAAACACCCCAAGGGTGTTTTATTGAAGAAAATTTACACTCTCCTTTTGTAAGCGAACATGTTGTAACTGGAATAATAGTTTATATAGAGGTAAGTCTACACCCAAAACGCCCCCACCCTTGGGTGTGAAGTTCTTCACTAAAAAAATAATACAATCCGTCAACTTCTATAATATCCGAAGCTCAAATTCAGAAGTCACTCAATCTAAACACTAAAAAGTTATAGGAGCTAAGCTTAATTATTTCACAATAGTTCGAGTTTTAAGAGAAAACATTTAAACAGTAAAATTTGAGAAAGGCCATGAAATCGATTTTGCTCCAGGAGTCAGTAGGGCGCAGCGCTCTGGATGGGACGGGATGAACGGGATGGAGAAGTGGTCCGGCAAAGCGGGGATTCTGCGCTATGATAGCGCTGGTAAGCAAGGAGACCGGCCCACGCAATTTACAATGCCATGGAGCGGGCCCAGGGTCGTGGTGTAATAACAAAATTAGCTATTCGTAGTGTCGGTAGCGTTTTGTCCATTTTACCTTCCTTCATTCACTTATACTTTTCAGTTAGAGCCACAAATGTTTCCGATAGAAAAGAATAATTAAATGATTTTCTGTATTTCTTTCAGAGAATAATTTGATATTGGTATGACTAAACCTAGAAGATTCCTAATATTGACAAGCCACGTTCATTATCAATAGTATAGAGATTTGGATTAGATATTTCACCCGCATCAAATCAAGGTTTTCAAACACTACTTTGCTTTTCTTCCTGGTAGTTCACGGTCTATTCGATGATATAAATTGGGAAAGGACTGTTTTGGAGTCTTCCAAAGCTCACCGGACATCCGGTTGTGTCAGTCCCAGAGGAGGTGAAAATCCGACTATTATTCAGTTTTTTTAGCAATATATTTAAAACAAAACTATGAAGAAAAATATGAAGATCGTGAAAAAATCCGAAAAATTGCTTATAAATTGACAATTTCTAGGTTTGTTCTGCTATTTGCTATAAGAGTTGCGTGATGGAACTATTTTAAATAAATTGTATTCTATAGAAGTTGCGAAGTTGGTATCTTTAGCAATTAATTATTGGATTTTTGAATGGCAGCAAATATCCAGTTAAGTTCTCCAAAATTTTGTAGAGGGCGCGACTGAACTTGGAGTGCTTCAAATTTTAGCGGTAAATGTCAATAGTTTTAATCCGTTTAAATTGAGTCGAAAGAAAGATGACTACAATATGAACATTGAACAATGAATAAGTTAAAATATCTTCCAAAGCATTCAGTGGCCCTAGAGAATATTGCTTTATTGTCAGAAAATTTTACAATTTTGTGGACAAAGATGAAAAAATGAAAAACAAAACATACAAATGCAAAAGCACAGACAAAACCAAACACTTGAACAAATAGTTCATGGTCAAAATTTGATTAAAACTAATAAACAAACATCTAGGTCTATCTGCTTATACTGTGCGAGTAAGCATATTATAGGTACTAAAAAAACAAACAAACAATAACTTATAATAACCTATCATGATACAGGAACAAAAACAAAACCTGTGAGTAAGCTGCTCAAAATTTAGAATTAGGAAAGCATAAACAACTCGCTTACTATGTACAAGGCTCTCCCCAGTAAATACATCTTCAACGCCCTGCGAAATTCGAGAAAAGATGCAATAGACCTGTTGTTAGGCGGTAGATGATTATGCATCTTTTTAGCATTATAAAGTATTGAACTTTTAACTAACTCTGAGCGCGGGATTGGCAGATAAAGATCCAACTCTGCGTTCCTCAGTGGATAATTGTGAGATGGCCTCTCTGAGATAGATGATATTAAGTGCTTACGAATTAAGCAGACGGATTCGAAAATAAATAAAGATGGAAGAGTCAATATACTAGACTTGATAAAAAATTCCCGGCAGTGAGTTCTACTACCAAGTCCCAAAGAATAACGAAGAGCTCTCTTCTGCAGTCTAAAAATGCGTTCAAATTGAGGCGCACAACACGTGCCCCAGAATGGAAGGGCGTAACGTAAATGCGACTCAAAAAGAGCATAATATACCATCCTGCAAGTTGCCGAGTTAAGCTCCCTGGAAACAGATCTCAGTGCAAAACAGGCCGAACTTAATTTCTTTGCTAAGGCGTCGATATGCAGGTCCCACTTTAGAGATTTATCAACAACAAGCCCCAGGAATTTCACGGAATCAACGGCCTCCATGGTATTGTTATCCAGTACTACAGATTGGAGCGAAGCTCTGTAAGATAAAACTTTGGTTTTAGAGAGGTTGAGGCACAGGAGATTTGAGTCACACCATGATTTGATGGTGATTAAGTCACTAGATACGGTTCTATGGAGTTCCGTAATATCCGGGTTGCTCCAAGTGAAACTAGTATCGTCTGCGAAGAGACGCCGCTAATATCCAGACTAGCAATGTCGTTAATAAATAGCAGGAACAAAATAGGGCCAAGAACTGAACCCTGAGGCTCACCACATTCAATTGGTTTACAAGAGGACATGGTCGAGTCCACCCTCACAAGCTGGCCTCTGTTACCAAGATAAGACTTAAACCATTCGAGAGCCATTACTCTGAAACCGTAGAACTATAATTTGTTAATTAAGATATTATGATTAACACAGTCGAAAGCTTTGGAGAAATCACAGAAAATTGAGGCTGCAGAGTGGTGGCAGTTCAGGCTGGAGTATACATTATTGAAAAGGGAAAACATTGCATCATTAGTACATTTGTTACTTAGGAAACCGAATTGACTGGTAGTTAGAATATTATATTTAGAGAGAAATGATAGAAGCCTCTTTTTAGCCAATCTTTCTATGATCTTTGATAGCGTAGGAAGGAGTGCAATGGGGCGATAGTTTGAAGGTAGCTCCTTATCACCTCCCTTATGCAGTGGGATAATTATCGCCATCTTAAGACAGTTTGGAAAAGCTCTATTTAGAAACGACTTGTTGATCAGAGTAGTAAGATGTTTTAATGTGCAATCAGGAAGATTAGAGAACATTTTGAGGGTGAGTCCATCAGTCCCAGATGAAGATTTGTTTTTAATATCTTTCATTGTACTGCGAAGCTCTGGAACTACTACAGGCGTGAAGAAGAAACTGTGTAAGTTCACCTTAGCATTCGGGAGATATGAAAGTGGGTCCTGGGAAGGAGTTAAGGTATTCACTAAATTCTTAGCCACATCAACAAAGTAATCGTTAAGGATCTCAGGTGAAGTAGGAATTTTGCTAGATGAAGAAGCCCAATTCCTCAAGTCATTAACAATTGACCATGTTTCTTTTGCAACATTTTTGGAGTTTGCCAGCCTCCTATTATAGTAAATGTCTTTGGCGGCTTTTATGGTTTTCTGATAGACTTTTCGGTATAATTTTACGTAATCATTGAAGAAGACGCTATCCGAGATGAGACAAGGATCGCATATTTTTTCCAGAAGTACGCAAGCCACTAGTGGACCATGGTTTATGCCGTTTGACTTTGATGGGTCTGAGAGGAAAGGATTTAGTCGCCAGGTCAGATAGGGTATTTATGAATCTAGAGAACTCGGAGTCAACATCATTTGAGTGGACGACCCAGTCAACTGATAAGCAAAGTTGATTGAAATTTAAAAAATTTCCATCCGAAAATATTCTGCCCAATTTGCGGGAAGCACCCTTACGTAAGGAATTCAATGAGAAATTCGTTAATACTGCTTCGTGGTCAGAAAACCCTGCACTAAAAATAGAGCAGTTGACCAATTCTGGATCAAAAGATGAAGCGACATAGTCAATGGTAGTAGAACTAGTTTTGGTTATTCTGGTTGGAGAGTTTACATGCATCACAATCCCAAATGAGTCGAAAATGGACTGGAGAGATTCTTGAGCAGCGCACACACAGGAAAAATTTATATTATAGTCACCACATAAAATTATTTTGCAATTCAAGGGCAAGGAGTCAAGCAAGCTCAGCAAATTCCGACAAAACATGTGCGCGTCTGTGTCCGGTGATCGATATAAACAGACAATATAAAGGTCAAAGCCACTATGATAGACGATGGAAAATTCAAATATTTTTTCCGATAATAAATTATCAAACTTGGTTATTGCCGTAAAGTCATTATTAGTGGACATTATCATAGTGCCTCCGTGAGATAAATTACTGTGATTAAATCTAGCTATTGAGGTGTAATTTTTGACAAACACAGGTTCATCCATATTTAACCAGTGTTCAGTAATGGCGATGATTTCTGGAAAATTAAGCTCTTCTAATAAAAGAAATAATTCATCTGTTTTGTGTCTTAAGGACTGAATATTAATAAGAAATACACTAAGCTTGCCATCGTCCAACCTTACAGAGGGTGCTTGATCCTCTGGTCGCGTCACCTTATCTAAAAAATTTTATTATTACGTGGAGAGCCACTAGAGAAATATTTGCTCTGACTTTCCCTAATATTCTGTAACCGGAGAAGTTTCTCGGACGAGAAGTAAGACCTGAAGGCGGAGAGATCAGCGTCAACTTCAGTCAGACCAATGTCATACGCGTTGTGGAAACGGAAATATAACTTCCGCAATGAGTCCAAGTCACTAGGAAGTCCCTCCGAAGCTAACATTAATTTGATGCTGGTGTTAGTGTGCCCATCAAAACACACGGTGGATGGTTGGTCATGGAGATAAGCCAGGAATAGCCTAAGAGCTTTAAGAATGGCAGGGTCTCTTAGTCTAGCCAATAAATATCGACCATCAGCTGTATCGGAAGCTCGCGATAATCGCACAATGGGTGGAGTCATCGGGTCCACGATTGATTCATCTTTTTTTCTACTTGTATCCATAACAATTTTTGTGCTGTCTAGTGCCAGGGATTTAGAAACAGCTATAGCCTCCCTGTCAGAACCAATCCTGATAGTTTTATCATCCTTAGTCGGGTTAATCGGGGTTGAGTCAGAGTTTAGTGGTCTACTTCGGCCCTCCGCAGTGTTGGGTTTGAAATGGTGATGAGACTGATGCTGTGGATCTACTGTGTCAGCGTCAGCTTGTCTTGAAACCACACATCAGACTTAACTTTTAGAGTTAAAATTACAATCAATTATTTACGCGCCAAAATTTAAATAGCTCCAAGTACAGAAGCGCCCTCTTCAACCCAACTGTCAATATTACATGCCATTGAATATACCCGAAAAAGCTGAAGACATTAGGTAAATACATTTATAAAATCTGTTTTTTTTTTAAGATAAAAGTCAAAATGACATTATGTTGGCAATACAATGTAAAATTATCAATGCTTCAAATTTTTTATGTAGAAAAGGCTTGTTGTCTAATCTTGAGAAGTATTCAAAATTAGCCATAAGAGAAATTTATAGGATTTAGTTAAAAAACCATAAAGTGGACCAGTTTGATTATATTGACCTGCATTGACACAACCATGTAATACAAACAATAATCCAATATTGTTATTAATTAACTAGCAAGTTTTAAAATACCAACCTAATTGCAGCAATCTGCAAAATCATCATCATTCCAAATTACGTTTATTTTATTAATAATTTTTGTGTATAAATATTGGCTCATTTCAAATAA